GAGGCAGAGGTAGGCAGATTTCTGAGTTCGAGGCCAGCCTTGTCTACAGAGTGAGTCCCAGGACAACTAGGGCTACATAGAGAAACAATGTAGTGTAACTTTAATTTTTTTTCAAATACTATTTTTAATGGTGGTTCTTAAACACTTTAGCCTCCATCATAGCCCACCACTTACCACACATAGTGAAGAAGAAAAGATACTGGGAAAGTGGATCTGGTTAGAAAAGTTCTTTGGACCAACCCCATCTGTGTTGTTTGGAAATCAGCAGTTCAATTCACAGGTTACCAGCCTCAACAGGTCAATCAACTCACAAATACCTCACAGATACATCAATAGTACAATTCAGTAGAGTTGGGTTAACAACAGTGGTGACACGACTCAGAAGAGACAGCCAGGCCTCAGCCTTGGCTAGACTCAGCAGGAGGGACCAACAGGAACACCAGGAGAAGATTTCAGCTGTGCCTCTCTCAGGGACTCAAAGATCAGCGAAGATGCCAGAGCCACAAGTGTTGTACAGCTAGCTGGACCAGCAAGCCAAGCTCCATCTCCATTGCTCAGTGGAGTCCTGTTTATACCCTCTAAATGTCAAGAGTCCTCCACGTGCTTTGCCTCAGCATGTGTCTTGCATCAGCCTGTGCATCCCATCAACCCGAGTCCACAGAAGTGGCAACCAACTTCAACACACCTCCAGAAGTTTTTTGTTGCGTTTCTCTCTATGAGGTCCTGAGAAATTCAGCTCAATGATGCAATGCAAGGCAGACCAATACATGTGTGTTGTTAGCAAAGGATCTTTCATCACCTGTTCTTTCACATGCTTCCTTTAGCAGAAAGTCCTTTTACCCATGTTTGCTTCAGCAAAACTTTTCTTCATGAATCTGCCTTAGCCTTTCACACCTGTGTACTTTAATGGAATATTCCTTCACATATTTGCCCCAGCAAAACACCATCCAACCAACTTCCCAAAGAACCCTTAAGTTTCCACTTCAATGAAGGCTACAAAATGAAAGGATTTGGCTATAAACAATATTGATAAATCAATGTGTAATTTCCTCACTGTGTTACGTACAAGACCAGTCTGTCTGTAACATCACAAAATGATCCTAATTTTGACTCAGAGAATTATGCTAGTCATGGGATCAAAAAGGGCTCTGAAAGACATACCACAGCATACAAGTAGAGAACTCAGGACAGTTTAAAGAGTTGGTTCTTTTGTTCCATGATGTGGGTTCCTGGTATTGAACTCATGTGATCAGTTCTGGCAGCAAGGAACTTAACCTTTGTATCATCTTGCTGGCCTTTTTATCTTTATAAACTGATCAGTAAATTTATTCATACTATTAATCCAACCTGAGTTCTTCCTTCTTTATCTTTATAAACTGATCAGTAAATTTATTCATACTATTAATCCAACCTGAGTTCTTCCTTCTTTATGTTGGACACAGGTTTTAGAATGATGAACATAATTCATATTCTGTCATTACTCTATGCAATGTTCTTATACTCTGTGAATCTCTGGTTTTTACATCCTTTCAAAGTTATAAGAATTTTAAAACATAGCTGTAATGCTTAGCACATGTTACAGTATTTAGTTCAATAGATAATACCCATTTGTGTATCTAAACTTGTTTGGTAAACACTTAGTTAGTAAGGTTATTTCTATGTCATTTATTTTTAAATTAACAACTCGTAACTATTATGAGGCACAGCATGTTTTGAGAGTAGTTTTTATGTTATTTTGTTGGGAGAAACCTACTAACCTGGCAAAAGCCTGGGTTGTTTGAGTATTACCATTGGACAACTTGGTCAATAAATCAAGTAGATGAAACCCAGTCCTAGTACTTGTAGCTTCATTTGGTGACAAGAGATGATCAGTTTGTGTTGTCCCTCTCTAATCTGGATCACCTTCATGTATTGTAGTGACTTTTCACTGCACTACTTTTCACACTACCCCCCAATGCCAGCTTCCCCTCCCTCGTTCCCTCAACTCCATCTCCGTTCCCCCTCTTTCTGTTTCGATGCCCCTGATCTCCAGTCCTCCTATAAAATCTACTCTATTTTCCCTCTTAGGGAAATCCATGTGACCTCATCCCTTCCTCTATGCCTGACTTCTTTGGGTCTACATATTGTAAGTTGCTTATTATTTATTTAATGGCTAATACCAGCATATGAGTGCATATTATATTCATCTTTCTGAATCTGGGTTACCTCACTCAGGTTTTTTTTTTCTAGTACCATCCATATGCCTACAAACCTCATGATAACATTTTTTAAAGAGCTGAGTAATGCTCCATAGTACAAATGTACCACACTATTTTGGCCATTATTTTATCAAGGTGTATCTAGGTTGTTTTCCAGTTTCAGGCTCTTTTGAATAGAACAGCAGTGAACATGGTTGAGCAAGTGTCACTGTGGCAGTATGAAGTATTCTTTGCGTATATGATCATGAATGGTATTGCTGGATCTTAAAACAGATTGAGTCCTATCTTTCTGAAGAATGACCCTACTAATTTCAACAGTGACTACTTGTTACCGGAGGTATTACAAAAGATGGATGACAAGCTTCCCAACTCTGCCAATTCTCTCACCCAGTTCCACATTCCAGTAACCAAATAGAACCTCCAAGTTCCAGCACTAAGCCCAGCACCATTGGGCCACTTGGCCCCAGTTGAGTGCTCTCATTTCAGAAGGCTCTGTGGCAGGGCCAGAGCTCCCCTCATGGCCCTCCATCCTCACGCAATGACTGTCCACCCTGTGTTAAGCCATCACAACACCCATTACCCAGTAAAATCAAAACTCTTAAAGCTTATAGTTAACCAGTCAGATTTATATATCAATAGAATCTCAATACACAGGATGTGACACAATTTAGACAAGTTACCTCAATTATTCTAACCTTAATATCATAACTACCTGTGGCTAGTTAAAGCCATGCCGGTTCACATCTGCCTCCATCTTGGCCTCCTTTCCTCTCTCCCCCATCTGTCTCTCTTTTCTCCAGCTCTTAGCTCCGCCTCCCTTTTCCCTGTCCAATCACAGGCCTCTTGCTGCACTAATATTTAAATAGATTGGACAGGGAAATTCTTGCCACATTTCTACCAGTTTGCAATCCCATCAACAATAGTGGAGTATTCCCCTTATTGTATATGTTATGAAGTTATATTAATAACATGGTATTGATGTTATCCTTTCAGACAGGTGTAAAATGGAATCTCAAAGTAGTTTTGATTTGAATTTTCATGATGGCTAAGGACGTTGAACATTTCTTTAAGTGTTTCTCAGCTGTTTGTGTGTCCTTCAGTGAGAATTCTCAGTTTCAAACTGCCCCAATTTTAATTGGGTTATTCAGGTTTTGATATCTAGTTTCGTGAGTTCTTTGTATATTTTTAATATTAACCCTCTATTGGATGTGAAGCTTGTAAAAATCTTTTCCTGTTGCTGCCACTTTGTCCAATTGACACTGTCCTCTGCCTTATGGAAGCATTCCAGTTTCATAAAGTCTCATTTATTAATTATTTTTAATGCCTGTGGTACTGGTGTTCTGTTCAGAAAGTCTTCTCCTTTGCCAAAAGCATCCAAGGCTATTATCCACTTTCTCTGCTGTCGGGTGTGGTGACTTTTGTGCATTTATATGAATCTATTTGGATTCTTCTGCATGAAGAAATCCAGTTTGACTAGTACCAATTGTTGAAGATGTCTTATTTCCAACTTGTATTTCTTGCTTGTTTCTCAAAAATCAGACGTACATATATGTGTGGATTTATGTCTGCGACTTCAATTCTATTCCATTAATTAATGTGCCTGTTTTTAATTCCAATACCATACAGTTTTCTTACAATCACTCTGTTGTACAACTTTGAAATCAGGACTGGTGGGACCCTGAGTAGTTTGTTTCTTTTTTTTTTTATTGCACAGGATTGTTTTAGCTCTCCTCTTTTGTTTTGTTTTGTTTTGTTTTATATTTCCATATGAAGTTGAGAATTGTCCTTCAAGGTCTATAAAGAATTATATTGGAATTTTGATGGGGATAGCATTAAATCTATAGATTTCTTTAGGTAAGACGCCATTTTTAATATGTGAATCCTACCAATCAATGAGCATGGAAGATCTTTCCATCTTCTTCAATTTCTTTCTTCAAAGACTTGAGGTTTGTATCATATTCTTTCAATTGTTTGCCTGTGAGTGTGTATACAAATTCTTTCAATTGCTTGCCTGCCAGTGTGTATACAAGTGTTTGCTAGTTTTTATAGATTCCATGTCCAGGTGGGTAGAAGTGTTCTGCACCAGGAATGAAACTTCTCAAATAGTAGTTTAAAAAGCTCCTCCAAGAGCTGGGCCTCTGATTTGCTCTCTAACCCACCAATGGGATACAACTATGGCCTGGATTTCAAGGCCAAAATCTCAATACCAACCGTTAGGCATAGATGAAAAACTTCACTGTGCATGTGGACCGCAAAGTTCTTGACAGGTAGATAAAAATAAATTGGACTTTAAAAGAAACCCTAACAAAATGTTCATTAGAGTCCAGCAAAGGGTGGACAGACCTTCATTTGCTTTGCTTTAGGTCCACTGTACCCCATTATAAAGAGGGATTTACTAGCTATGGGATTATGTTTGGACAATCTCCCATACTGCTTCCCAAGCTCAGAGATCAGTAGCTGGTGAAACTCTCTAACCATTCAATTCTCAAATCACTAGAGTCCCCCAATTTTCCTAAAGGCTATTCTTTTGTACTTTCTGCAATACCTAGCTGACCTTCCAGTCCAACAGGAGTTTACCCTTATTACAACCTGGTGATACTGTGTGAGTCAAGTAGGTAGCCAAAGGAGCACTGGAACCAACGTCACCAGGGCCCTACAAGGTGATTCTCCCCATTCCTACAGTGGTGAAGGCAGCTTGTGTTATACTATGGATGTACCTACCATACCAGGTCAGAAGAGCAAAAACCATACTGGTGGCTGGAAAATTGACTATCTCCAGACTATGGTTCCATTGTTCTACAGGCTCTCGCACATCCTGCCACTCCACCATTTCTTGAGTCTTATGTCTGGTATGAGTACAAGGTCGTTGCCCTTCTCCAGAGTTTAGGAACTGAGGAAAACAGATACTAGCAATAGAATTAGCTCCTATGACTACACACCAACAACCCATACTCATCTTGAACTTCATTCACTAATACCTCCTTTAAAGATCTTTAGCTGTACTGGGAAATAGGAAAGTTGCCGTAATTTATCTTTTGAGATTAAAAAAATGTAAGTTTTACAATTCTGTTCATGATATTTGGTTAGGCTTCCTAATTGTTAAGAAGATTTCCATTGCAAAAATTGGAGTTGCAAAACAGAGCCTTGCTAAAAGCACATGAATGAGTATATAGAAAGAAATGCCCTCCCCAAGAAATGCAAAATAGGAAAGTGGAACACAATGTCCATCAAATTAAAAACTTGGAAATTACTTTAAGTATGAGTCTGCCTCAGTTAGGAAAAGAAGGGGAGGGGGAGGAGGGAATGGACTTTGTGAGGGTGGGGTTGGGATGGGGGGGCAGTGATCTGGATGTAAAGTGAATAAACAAATAAATAAATGAGGAATAGATAGAAAGAAGAAAGAAAGAAAGAAAGAAAGAAAGAAAGAAAGAGAGAGAGAGAGAGAGAGAGAGAGAGAAAGAAAGAAAGAAAGAAAGAAAAAAAGAAAGAAAGAAAGAAAGAAAGAAAGAAAGAAAGAAAGAGAGGAAGGAAGGAAGGAAGGAAGGAAGGAAGGAAGGAAGGAAGGAAGGAAGGAAGGAGTGTCTAGCCTTGGAAAATCCCAGGGAATAAAACTCTATGATACAAGAAGGGACCCTGGGGTTAGAGTTAATTATTCCCTGCCACAAACTGGCTAGGGTTACTGGTCATGATTAGACAACTGGTCCCCATACACACAGGGATAGGAATTAAGCCATACTGTCAGATCATTAACTAACAAGACTCATTGTGACTGAGAGCAGCCTAGATTAAAATCACAGGACTCAACCTAGGCACTCTCACATACTCTGATGCCCACTGTTCTGCCATAGAGGTGTCTTTATTTATATGACAACAATATTACTGTCCCCATGTGGATACATGGTGAATATGTACTAAGGGATAGATTAAATGTCCCTCCTCTGATGCTTTCTAAACTTAGAAGACAAGTTGATCATGACATAGAGATGTCAAAATATTCTTTTTGTAAGTTAAAATGATAGATTTCCTTTAAAAATGGTACTACAAAAGGGGATTATGTGTGGCTTTGGAATAAACCTGTTGTTTCTATACTAATTTGGCATTAATAATAATAATAATAATAATAAATATTACTAAGGTTAAGAAAATCCACACAAAGAGAGAGAGACAAAGAAATCAATCAAATAATGGATATCAGACTCTGTTTTCTTTTCCCTGGGTATCTGCTCTGCTATCAGCACTGGATGAACTTTTATTCTCGTTCTGACTGAACCAATTGCAGGGCCCTGCATCTTAAAGTATAAGGTCAATTATGCATCAGTTCAGCCAAATTAATGATCCTTATGACCACCTACACATCTAGAGAACAACATGGGTCCATGACTTAACTCATACATTAAGACCAATGGGACATGTAACAGGGCCTCAGACCTTAGCAGGCCCCAGACATTAGCAGAACTGGCAAAATGATGGGTATGCCATTTATAACTTAAAACTCAGCATGTAGACAACAGCACCAGCCAAAACAAAACAATAGTCTAATTCATTAAAGTCCATAATTTTTGAAAAGCCTCTAAATATCCACACCTACCTTTTGACTTGTATTATTCCCCTTCTGGCTTAGTTTTCTTGTTAATTAAAGAACCCAGTGTATGGATCATTGCACTTAAAAGCTTACCCTGAGAAAGTCTGGGGTCCATAGTGTTGTCCAGACCACCCAGTATAATTAGAGGGTGGCAGCTAAAGACTTCCTATTGGCTTAAACCCATGTCCAAGCAGTATTATCTGGTTACTAGCCCATAATAATAATAGCCAAAAGGCAGGATTGAATGTCCCTAGAGGTGTAGCAAGTGAGGGAAACAGCATGTCTTCCAGCCATCTGAGACTCAGTGCCCAGTTCTTAGGCTCTGTGTAACGTGGGTGTCTTTTTCATACAGGTGTTCTAGCCTCAATGCTGATGTATTCATGGTTCGCATATCTTAAATGTCATAACAGTCATTGTCCCATAAATTCATGGATATAAAAACATAAGTAGTCATTATCAGTTATCAAGTTATAGCATCCACACAATATTCATTCAAGCAGTCTTGACTCCCAAGCTGTGTTTTGAACCACCTTTCTATGCTGCCTGTGTGTTTACCCAGTGAATAACTGTGAAAACAGTGATCTCCTTGACAGATTAATTTCTAGTATCTTACATGCTGAAATCCAGCCCTTCCTGACCAAAACCATGAATGAAGAGGATGCTGTCTGGGATGTGGTAGGATTCTGACTCCCAAGGTCATACACTATGAGTTTGGCATCAGTGTGCTGATATTGAGAGGGGGGAGTTTCAAGATGTGCAGCCATTATGGAAGGATGATAAGGTTTGAAAGACAGACCAAAACTTTCCTTGAGTGCTGGAGTCCAGTTCCAGTACGATTCTGGGATGCAGGATAGAGGTGTGCCTTCAGGGAAAATAAAGAGAATGACCATCAGCTGCTGCTCAAGCAAGTGTCCCTGAGTAGCTGGGGCCATCCAAAGCATTCAAGCATGAGCAGTTTCAATTGATATTTCTTTAATTGTTTTTCCAAGAGTCATCAACATTTGCCCATTTTAGTTTCTGTTTCTCTCCTCCATTCCCTTGTCATCATTAACTGACCTTTACTCCATATCTAAAGATTAATGTTTACTTTGTATCAAAGCATTAATTTCATATTACAAGCCAAATGATTATATCTAGGGAAGCATATCCTGTTTGAGCTATGTCCAGTCTGGTTGCAAACATGCAGTTACATAAGTGTAAGATACACAAGCTCTATTGTTAGTTTTTAGCAGTGTGATACTTTTATATTTTGAAGTAAGCAGAGGGTTTGATACCATATCTTATATAATGTTATTGGGGAATAAGT